AAAGCAGCTAACGTCTCCATGGTAACTGGGTTATTATTCTGCGACTCAGGCGGGAGAATCGGACTAACATCTCCAAAATAAAAGGTAACCATAATAAGTTTTATCTGCTTACACCTAAAGCCATTAGGTTTTTTTTTTTTTTTTGGAAATACACCAAAATAAATTCAAGTAGTGCTTAACTAGCAATTTTTATTGCTAGTTAAGTGGCTTAACCAGCAAAAAGTGGCAGAGATACACACCATGCTTTGGAGATTTTATTTGAATACAAAAGGTGGCTTCCGCTTCACGGTTGAGCACTGCTTTGTGTTTGTCAACAACATGAAATGAACCAACGTTTGTTCATTTAACAAGACGAAATGTTCGAGGGGAAAGAATTGTGCAAGGCGTTTGCGGATGAGCTACCGAAAGAACAATAAACAATCATTAGCTACACAGTTTGCGTGCGGCATAAAACTCAAGTAAGCCAATCAAATTCCAATAAAGAGTGCGCTGCCGTGACATTCTCAATTGAAGCTGATAATTGATTAGAGCGAGGGTTGGTGAGACCAGTAGTAGCATGGAGAACACAAACACTGTCCCAACATTACTGTGGGTGTGGAGCATTTTGCCACTTAGCTGTGACCTTTCTCAGCATGGTGTTACGTCCTCAGAGTCACAGCTCCATTGTGTCCTGACCTCTCGCATTACAGCCAGCCTTCATTGTGGACACATTCACACACACACACACACACACACACACACACACACACACACACACACACACACACACACACACACACACACACACACACACACACACACACACACACACACCCCCACACACACACACACACACACACACACACACACACACACACACACACACACACACACACACACACACACACACACACACACACACACAGTATTAGTGCGGACCAGGTGGTCAGTATTGTCTTACTGTGGGTGAGGGTGTCATGCTTCAGCGCAAAAGAACTGCATGGTGCTTCCCATTAGTACCCAATGAGTAGCAGTCAATATCTTCAATGTCTAGGATCTCTCACACACACACACACGCACACCCCCCCCCCACACACACACATGCACACATATTTCTCTTTGTGTCCCCATGGGACTCTCTTCTGACATCATGCATTCCTTAGGCGTTACCCATTCACCACTTAAAGCACAACTTTTACCTTAAACTGGACCACAACCTGCTTATGTAATTAAAGCGCAACAGAAATTATTATTATTATTTTTTTAAAAGTGAATCTTACAACTGGTTTTCACATTTACAAAAAGTCCTGACCAGTTAGTATTCATTAACATTTTGGACCGAGTCATGACATAAAAGAGCAAAACACACAAATTCACATGTTTGCAAATAATTCCTGTGATTTTATAACCCAACGTACAATCCAGCATGAGGCCACAACATTGGACACGTAATTTGGACGATGGATTTTTAAGAATTGTTGCCGATGACTCTTGTGTTGCAGAGAATTAGGGCAGTTCTGACAGTGACATGGGTTTCAATCCGGCACTAGGACGGCCTACCTAAAGAAAGAGGTCAGCTTACAGTAAACACAGAAGCTGCAGCAAATGTTTTTTGCAGATTAATAGTAACCTGACTTCCATATATTGTCTATTTGTTGAAGAATGAAGGAGTGACAACCATGTGAAATTTGCATGTCAAGTGTGTCCACCACAGTCCAGGCCAGGTGGGGAAAATGCCTGGACATCAACATGCAATAATCTTTAATCTAAGTTTGAAATACAAGTATATAACATTTCGTATCTACAAGTGGATAAGTTTTATTTTACTTTCCAGTTCACATCTTCAATACTGCGTACGTAGCTGGATGAAAACAAACAAGAAACATCCAGGTGAGGCAAAATCTTTCATTTGTTTTTGTGTTACAAACTTAACGGCCACATTTCTTTGGAGTCAAACAGATGCAGCATGTTTGACTGCAGACATAAACAATTTAGAAAGCTATCTTAAGGAGACCAAGCTTGGATGTCTCCAACCAGTACTCACTGAGAGTGTCTGTAATCAGAACTGTGATAATAATAATAATAATAATAATAATAATAATAATAATAATAATAATAATAATAATAATAATAATAATAATAATAATAATAATAATGATGGAGGAACAGGGTTCCGATCTAAGAAAGGAATTCAAATAATTGACTTTGAATTATTTTAATGCAAAGGGCTTGGGTATGCTCTATCAGGCATTTTTGTGATTTTGAAGACATACCACTCACTTTTTCTAATAATTTGTCCTGTATTATCTGTCCTGTCTATCTTTTCACTCGCTGACATTTCTCTGAGCGACAATCTGGTCAAAAGCTGGAATAAAGTCACTGCTGACGCACCACATTTGAAGCTCTGGTGGTAATAGCAACAGTAAAAAAAAAAACAAAAGAAGCTTTAATGGGTTTATTACCCTCAACTATGGGTGTGGCTGTTAAGAAATATCTAAAAAGAAATCTAATATTTAGGTGGCTGGAGTGCCACAGTGTGCATAAAAACATTTTTTTTTTTTTTTTGTTATGGTCAGACGGGGGAGATATTTGTCTGATTTATTTAAGCTATCTCAACACAGCTGAGCCCTCAGCCATCCGTTTGTTTGTTCAGTAGCATGAAATCCTTAGCTTGGCACGACAGTGCAGTTTACAGCTGTTTATGATCCACTGTGTATAATGGTGTCTACTGTAGTGAGTAATCTGTAATTACCCTTAAATTCCCCCAGGGGCAGCTAAATGATGCCATAAAACTCTGCGGGGTATCGATCGTTCAGTGGCTCCAATTGTTATTTGGCTGTTAAAGCAAACAGGCTGAAGGGAAGCCAGACTACCACAGATGTCAACATTGTAAAAGACGGAACATTTTAACGCACTGTATCGGCCAGACACACACACACACACATGCATGTATGTCCTTCATATATGTCCCTCACGACTCTATATGGGATAAACGTGTACAATGATGGATGGATGTCTATATATATAGATATATCTGCATATATCTATATATATGCATATATGTTTATATTTACAAATATAGATATATATACATTCCTGTACTATTTTTAAAAACCAACCAAAGTGGCGAGAGTGGAGGCTGAAGAGTTTACTACAATGCTAACTTAACACGCAAACATTTTGGTTGAACAAGAACCAAATGTCTTGTGAGTCAGTGGCCCTTGCTGAGTACATCTGGTCATCTTTAGAACATATTGGCATGATTGTGATTTCGGGAGTGACTGATTTTTCATGGAAATGTATCCGAGTGGCTGGCAAGACACAACTACTTTGATACGGTTTTGTTCTTAACGTAGCAAAAGGCTGTTTGTCTGTGGTGGAAAATGGCTCAAATGCGTAAAAAGCCTTTGTCAGAATGACTCTCAAATCAGCAATTTCAGCTCATTTCCAGAGTGCTGCAGCAGCACCATAATGAAATCCTCGTGTAATAAGGACAAAATACTTCAAAAGACATGTGTTTGCATGACAGCGGTATGAACAAATGCTCCACCATGTCTTGGTGTTTAGATTTTTGTCATGTTTTGCCATGCGCAGAGATCTTTTAATAGGTGGGACAGGTTTAATCAAAGTTACTGACAGGAACAACCCAGAGGAACCAAAACACAGGAATCAATGTGCGAGAGGAGAATCTAGTCCAGGACATTGGGAAAAGTTTTCAAAATATAATTTTTTTAGTTTCCATCAATTAAAACTCTAATAAATATCTAACACTTTTTTTTAATCACCTCAATTGCCTCCTGTTTCACTAAAACTAACTAAACAGTGAAGACAGAAATGTCTGAAGCATTTTCCCACACTCTGAGACACTGACCGGTATTGATCACATGTAAATGTCATTGATCGCCTCACTCTCGTCCGTCTGTATTGATTCGACTCCTCTCTTTGTCCTTACACCTTCCAGCTGTCGGAGTTCTGTGGACTGGTTCCTCTTGTTGCTTTCAGCGAGACGAAGTTCAGCATCAGCATTACTGAATCAGTGAGGCCTGTCATTTGCGTTTGCAATTCATGGTTTTGCATGTTGCTTTTGCAATTCACAGCATCCGCTTGATTAAAGCAACGCGCGCGATGCGATTGTGTGGCTTTGAGTTAATGTCTTCTATTTTCTACAACTGAGCACCTGTGTACTACTTTGATTCATAATCCTTATGTTATACTGCCTAACACCCATTTATTTGCCGATGCTCGATGCCAAATTAGACAAAATGAAAAATAAACATGTGCTGCATTGATTTACTGCAAGATCAAAACATCTTTTTTGGTCATGTGACATTTAATCATTAGAAAGACAACATAGTAGTACATGCAAAAAGTTTTGTTTTTAAGTATATTTAATTTATTCATGCCTTTCTTAATAAACAGTGGGGACGTTTTTATTGGTATTATCGCAATCAAAGGTAATGATGAACAATCTATACCTGGTAGCTTAAGAAACAAAATAGTTTGTTGAGTATGAAAATGACAGGGTTGTGTTAACTCTGTGCAGTTTTGCATGTATTCTAATGTCATAGTCTTTGATTTAAAAAGCTATGAGACCATGATGTATCCATTGTTGATTTTAAGGATTTTGAATGTTATGGGTGAAAAGGATTTCTAGAATTAACTGAAACATTCTGTGCATGAGGAAAAAACATGTAACTTAACCGTCCTACAACTATTTGGCCATAAGCTGCAGACCTAAATCTACAACATTTAAATGTATAAATTTAAACATGTTTAAATGTTTCAGCTGTGTGTTTTGTCAGGCGTTTTTGTGCAGTTCTGTGGCAATTCTTTCATTTCCCTCCCCTCAATTCCAGTCACAGGTGTTTCTGTTGAACGCCAGAGGGCGATAATGAACCGCCTATGATCCCCATTTAAACCCAGAAACACTGCGTCACAAAACGGGGCGGAGAGACCTTTTTCAATTTATATACGGAGAGCGGAGAGCGATTCTCCCTGTAGCTTCTCGGATAGCGAAGGAAACATCTCAGCAACAAAGGGCAGCCTGGAGGTTGTTTACCTCACACGGTGGAGTTTCCACACGGACTACTCAACCACCTTTCAACCAACTTTCCCCGTCCGACTTTGGAATATGCTCGCTTGTTGACGTCGACGACTTTCCCCCTCCACTTTTTATCTCTCTCTTTTTTTTTTTCGGGATTTACTGCCGCCGCTTTGGACTTAGTGGACCAGCACCGGGAGTTCCACGAACTGCTTTCCCACTGCGTCTGAAGTCGGGGCCAATGTGTCAACGCATGTCAGTCCCGTGACTGACATGCACCCTTCAAGGTAAGTCTGGCAGCGCGAGCGTACAGTTGAGTGCGCGCGTCGTTTAATTGGAATAATATGATCCGCCGCTTCACTGCCGGCTTTTCGGCGAGTGCGCTGCGATCGAGCGCCGTCATCCGGGTCCGTCCCGCCGGTCCTTTATTGAACCCAGCACCGTCACAATTATAATACACAGTCATAATACGCGCATTTATAGCGTAATGAGTGCTTTATTAAACGTGTAGCTTGCCAAGTACTCCGCGTAACACGGCCATAAACACACAATCTGCTTATTTCACGGTAGTTACTGAAATAGTTGGAATAATACTTGAAGAAAACGATTCGGTAATTAATGTGCCTTTTTTTTTTTTTTTTTTTAAAGCTACCGTGTTTAAGAACGACACGCTCCAGCTCCACTTCTTTATTGACCCTTCAGGCGCAGGTTGGGTTGCACCGGGGGTAAAGGATTTTGGTTTACTGCTCCAAATGTTGGTCGGTTTTTGTGGAAACTGTTCTTCATTTGCTAAAGAGAGTGAGAGAGTGGTCTTTCTTTCCTTTCTTTTTTTTTATTTTTATTTTTTTACGCGTTTGCGGTATGACGGCAAGCAGTTTTGCGCAATAACTGCTTATTTTCCCCTCCTGGAATAATAGAGACGCTGATTATTTATGTCTAAGGATCTCTTTGTGCCTTCGGATGGCAGCGCAGAGCCGAGGTCACCGGGTTTAGTGAGCCTGAGAAGTATGCCCAAGGATTAAAAAATAGAAAAACTTACCAAAAAAAAGCAAACAACATTCAAACGCACTTGCCCTTTTTGTGCGTAATTAGATCCGGCCATAGCGGGGTAATTAGCGGTTGTTAACAAATAGATTTGCACCTCAGTCGCAACAACTGCACGTCCCGATGCACCTCCGGTGGGAGGCGCACACGCACTGAAGCAGAGTCCAGAAGCTTGCGACTTCCGTGTGCCTGAGCGGCGCACATATACATATGCGTTTGTCTTAATGTCGCAAACTGCACGCTTATGGTGCAACCTGAAACGTAGCTTCTTTTTTTTTCCCTGCACCGCAGCTGACATAAAGACACGCAAACAAACTCCACTTTAAAAGTGTACGGCGACGACGGTGAAGTGCACTGTGGACGGATTTCCTTCAACATTTCATCACACGGGCGCTTTGCTTTCCTTCCCTTTCCTCTGCCTGTTTTTCCTCCGTCTCCCTTCCTCTCTCTCTGTGTGTGTGTGTGTGTGTGTGTGTGTGCGTTGGCAGCCGCTGCCCGTGCGAGTGAGTTGCCGTTTCGCTTTCCATGTTTCTCTTCGTGTTTGGATTCGCGCACAAATCCTTGTGGGATTCGTAAAAGGGAAGAAAAAAAGAGTTATCATAATGTATCCACCAGGAGAGCGAGAGGCGCGTCCAGGTCAAGCGCAGCAGCGGTTTATGCGTGCGTAAAAGGAAACAAGTTATTAAACTCGCGTCTGCGCATACAAAAAGAAGGAGTTTTGCGCTAAAAGAAAACAGCGCCTAAACACAATTTCTTGATTTTTTTCTCTAATCCCTACCTGGAACAGAGGCGGATCGTTAAGGCTCCAAACACAAATTGACAAATGAGCGAGATCACTCTGAGCGCAGTTGCGTTGGAGCTACATTTCTGAGCTTTCATTCAATTTGGCACAGTCTGGAGATGCCGCAATAGGATCCCATTAAAAGCTTCCAGATTTGTCTCTTGAGGCGGGTTCGTTTCAGGTTGACTGCTTGTGACGCAGTTAAAGTCGCCCCAGCCGCTTCCTATATGTCGGATTTGTTTTTTTTCCCCTTCTCCCCAGCAGAAAAATAAAATAAACAAAGACTTGCCATAATCAGCAATTTCTGACAAACAATAGACACTCGCTGGACGTCAGTTTTGGAACAGGAAACTGGGTTTTACCGCTTGTGCTGGGGGGGGAAAAAAATAAAAATCTTCTGTGGGAATCAGGTGCTGTGGACTCTCATGAAAATAACCCAGAGGGCCCCCACATGTGGTACACCGACTTCCCTGATGTAAAGACACTAGAAAGGTCAACGCACTATTGAACAAAAGGGGTGTAGAAAAAAAACCCCAGAACGCTGCGATTCCGCATTTCTAAAAATAAAAGAATTGCAGAACAAAGTCCAGTCGTGACGCTGCAGGTTGCGCTGCATGCGCAGCAGGTTGCGCTGCATGCGCATTCGCTGCTCCCCCCCCCCAAAACAAAAAACAAAAACGGCGCAGCGCGGACGCGGAGAGAGGGGCTTGTTGTGTCCGGGCAGAGGGATGAAAGCCCACGCTCACGGTGACGCTCTGTTCATCCAACAGACCGCCAAATCTGCTCGATGGCTCGACCGAAGTAACGCCAGCAGAGGGGACCGGCGGAGACCCAGCATCCTCAGCGCGAACAACACGTTCCTCGAAGCACACAGAGCGGAGCTGCGCGCCACAGCCGGGCGCCTCCACAGCCGGGGGAGGAGGAGGAGGAAAAGGAGGGGAGCCGGACTCGGACTCGCCGCCCTGCTCCGTGAGCCCGGCCAGTTTAGACGTTTTTCGGAGCAGGTCGATATTTCGCCCTCCCCGCCGCTCGTCCAGCGGATACTTCTCCTTTGACTGCGACTCGCTGCCGAGCTCTCCCCTCTCTCCGCACCCAGTGACGGCTGACAAAGCCACGCAGACCCCCAGCCCCACCGGCCAGGTGATGAACCACGCCCTGCAGCGAATGGCTGTGGAGCACGGTGGACTCGGGCTGCACGGTGAGCAAACTTCAGTGCACTGCAAAAAAAAAAACAAAAAAAACAAAAAAAAACAAAGAGGGAGGGGTGGGGGGTTTAGAAGATCAGTCAATTTTATACATTATATTTAAAATTGTAATAAACTATGGTAGTTTGTAGATGGGATGGATATACAGGGAATGCTGAAGTAGCACAAACTTCTTATTTGTGATCACTCTGCTCACCTGGTTTGTCCACTTGTGTTAAAACAAGAAAATAAATTCACTCTTCAGACTTTAAAGAATGAAATGTTAGTGAAATATCAATAATAGGTTTTGAATTGATATTCACAAGTCGACAGATGCACCTTCTTTGAGGCTTAAGAATGAACAACGCACCGATCTGTAAAATTTGGGCTGATATCAATATATTACTGTTACTGCCGATAATCGATATTTACCAGTATATATTCCACCATTCTTTCAACATCTTGAAAAGACACCAAAAAAAAAAAAAAACCACACTGCTGACTTCCCCTCTGCATCTCTGCTTCTCCCCACAGTCCTGCTTCATCACTATCACAGTCACATGACCAAACAAATACCACATGACCCCCGCCCCCTTCTGAAACATCAACAACATGGAAACATGCTTATGTATCAGGATACCGATGTTAGTGCCAGAATATCATGCATCCATGTTAAGAATCTCAGCTCTCGAGTGAGTTTGACTTTAGCGTTAGCACTGCCGCTAATCTGACTTAAGATGGAAACAAGCAGAAACTTAGTTCATGCATTTGCCTGCAATAAAACCCCTCTGACAATTAGCTTTAAATGTCTCTGCTGGACACTACACATGAGGAAGCGAAATGGATTGTTGTTCAAATTTAAATAATCTATTGGGTAATATTTGATATCCTCCAAAATATCTCTGTATAGTCTAGGTTGCCTCTAAAATGAACAATTAACTCAGATAACCTGTGAAATTCTCAGAACTTTCCTTTCCTGAAATTGCGATTATTTGGGCTAAAGATGACAAGTGTTGCTAAGGGGGGGAAAGAAAACAATCTGCTCTGCACGTGAAAGCCAGAAGAGACCTGACTGTGCAGTACAGGCTGCTTCAGATGTTTTCACTGGCTGCAGTTTTTGTGTGGGTGTGCAGCGACATGCGAAACCAGACAGAAGCCCGACGCCCGCTCCTCAAGCGCTTCTTCATCAGAGTTTTGGAGGAGCTGATATTGATAATGATATTGATAGTAAATACATGAAAACTCTCACAGAGCTTTTTTTTTTCTTTTCTTTTGTCGGAGTTTTCCTCGTGAGGGATGACTGGATTTTCCACTAAAGAGTAACACTCACGCTTTTACACATTCTGGTTTATTGACTAATACTTGGCTCAGGTCAGCCTGTTGGCTCACTGAGGAACCACTGACAAACTCAGGCAGAAACATGTATCCTCCCCTGATTCCCTCATGTTGCCCAAACCGCTTTTACACAGAAACTCCCAAGGAACAGAGGAAAAGGGGGGAGGTGGTGCTTCGGTTAATGTTACTCACCCTAAGGTAACTCATCAGTCATTATACCAAAAAGAGAAACAAACCAACCCCTTTTTGTCTTGTGTCCTCCCAGTGCAACTGATGAGTCAGCAGTTTTCTCATGCGACTTCCATTGCTTAAAAAAAAAAAAAAAAAGGGTAGGAAATCATTATTATTATTACTACACAGACCGTTTCGTTTTAAAATCAATAATTTAATCTGGTCTCTGCAGTCCAGAGCTACATTTAAACTGCAGTGTGCTCAAGATACACCATGAGACATTTTGCTGTAACAAAAGGAGCACACTTCCTCTTTAACAACGCATGAAAAGCGCACACCTAAAGATGACCTGCACAAAGGTTTTGCTTAAATGGGAAAGACATTTGTTGGACCCTGACAATAGAGTCTCCGAAGACACGGACGAGTTGCTTGGAAGATAGGAGCAGAGGGTGTATCAGCTGACACTTTTTAGGAAGTGTTTGTCATTCGAGTCCAGTCCTCAAACCTTTTTTTCTTTGTTCACCTAATTCTTTCAGTGGGAACGTGAGATGTCTGATGTATAAATTAGTCTGACAGGACATCCTGTTGACTTTAACCTGCCGGCTACAAGGTCAGGTACAGTGTAAGGGCTGTGTGATGCCTGGTTTCCCAGGGATTACTTCACGGTGTAACCATTCCCAGAGGCTAAATAATCTGGCAAGCATTGTTGGCAGCACGTATCGTAGGACAGAACTGTTATTGTATCACCATTTGTGGTCACATGTCACTTCCCTCTCTTTGTGTAAATAAGCACCTACGCCACACAGTCAGCTGTGGTGGGTGGCAATCTGGATCGCAGTGATTTTTTTTTTTTTCTTCTCTGTTCCAAATGATATTAAGCGGAAGCATTGTCATAGATTTACATGCTAACATGAATTCAGGATTCAGCAAGCCTGTCTTAGGTGGCTGCACATCTTTGATTTGAGTAATGTAGGTTTTTATCATGTAACACATGTGGTTAGAGAATGATGCAAAGCGAGCAGAAGATGACGGATCTGTGAATGTTGCAGAGTGTGTTCACCAGTGAAACAAAGGTTTCAGTTTGAAACTCTGGAGAATTTTGCGAAGAAAAGCTGAAAGGAGGCAATGGCGAGTCAGCAAAAAGGCAGCTGCTTTTCTTGTCTCTCAGCTGAAATCTTACTGTCCTTCCATGTGAACGGAGAGCCAAATTTATTTTCTTTCTTGCTTTATTCACTCCAAGTTCTCTCAACAACAAAAAAAAGCTGTCAGTTTGTCAGCAGAGGATTGACAAAGTTCTTCCTCACTTGTTTAAATTGCTTTGTCTTTTTCATCATACAAGTGAATGTGTCGAGGTCTCAGGGATATAGACTGGCAGCATGGCCTACAACGCGCAATGTGAAATAATGCTGATGAATTTTGCAATATCCACATGACTTATAATAAATAAACAAGTAATTTAACAACGTTAGTGCATTTCTGACAAGCTCACCAAACACTTTATCTTCTAAAAGATTTCTATGTGGCTAAAGGTCACCAAATATGCATAGAAATCCTTACATAATTAGCTAACACTTATTGCGGTCAAATACATTTTTTGTGATATGCATGTTACATACAAATTTACAGCATATCGTGAAGCTGTTTCTGCATGATGTTCTGCTGAGCTAAATATTTTGTGTTGCGATTCAGTGTGTAGCTCACACCTTAAAGGTATTACAATAGCCACTGGCTGTATTTAGATCACCTCAGTGTCAGGATCACAGGACATGACTTCAAAATCTGATGAATTTTCTAGGCTGCATCGTTCTTAAACACCAAAAAAGTCATGACGTGGAAAAAGTTACATATTTTTCTATCGTTTTGCAGCAGCCAGTGAAGCGTTTCATGGAGTTTCAGCGGTTCTCATCGTCCTTCTGATTCTGTTTTTGTGTTTGTTGTTTGGTTCGATTGGAAAACAGAGCGAAGCACGCAAGGCTGTCACCTCCAGCAATAAAGATCAAAAATAGTGCTCCAGTGGACTTGTTTATATCGGCATCATCTACAATAGAAGACTTATTAAGCGCTGTGCTGCCGGCGAAAGTTTGTGTTGACTGGTAGCTTGGTAACAAAACTTGAGGCAAAAAAGGGCAAAAAACAGCAAATATTGGAAAAAAGACATGAAGGAAAAGCCCTAAGAATATAGAAGGGTATTCTGGGATTTCACAAGTGCTGCATAAACAAACATGTTACTGCACATTAGGCGTGAATGGTTACATTTAAATTCAATCGTCACAACAAATCAACTGAGATTGAATTGTGTCTATGCATATCTTTGTGTTTATTCTAGAGATACAGTTGTGCTATCTCCAGATGCTAGCAGAAAACCCTAAGAAGCGTCAGGGTGTTGTACTGTTTATAAGAGAATACAATAGAAGTGATTAGCTTAACTGATTTCCTTGTGTCTCTTTTATTTATTTTTCTCCACTGTAGCCAGACAGATAGCAATCGGAAGGAACCAGCTCGTGTGCGTGCACAGGTCACTCATTAATTGCGCATGTTAAGCAGTCAAAATAGGCCTGCAGCTCTTTTTTATGACCCAGATGGAAACTATGCATCTCAGGCAATCTGCTTTGTCCATGACAATGTTTAACAGATAAAAACACAGGCGCAGTGCCCGAAGCATGTCGTGAGTTGTCGCCAGCGTGCAATAAGGGCTTCAGATATGAAGAATGTTTCCTTGCTTGTGTGTCAGATGCCAAAATGTGCCGTAAGAAGGATCAGTTTATCTTCTTGTCATAGTTTGGTCTCTCTGCACTTCCTCATGCGGCAGCAGGAAGAAAACAAATAGTCAGCTGTCTGGAGAGTCAAAGTGAAGCTACGTGAAATGTTTTTGTTTTTTCACTTGACATGAACACGTTCGTAGTAGAAGAGACTAACAAACAAACAAATACCTACACAGATTGCGTGATGATCAGTTTTGATTTGAGCTGATAAATGAGTATAAAATAACCAACATACTTAATTGGACTAATGTGTAATCAGTTTTCATGTTCAGTCTGGGTAACTCTTTTGAATTTGGACTTCTTCCATAACAGATTTAATTCACAACAAAGTTGTAAACATCTCTTTGGCCATTTGGTTCCCTTTGGAACAAAAAGGCAAAATTGTTGAGCATTTGTGTGCTTTCAAATAGGCATATTTTTATGTTCATGCCAAATATTGCATGCAGCATGGTTCTCTGCCCTGGGCAACTTGAACATGGGTGATGCCATTAGCACAAACACAAACTGTGGTCTTTAAAATAAGTTATTTCCCTAAAGAGTATGTTTCTTCTACTTGTTTGCATGTCAAGTCAATGTGAAGCTTCCCCGACCACAAATGGTTACTGATGCTGAACATGGTGTCTGATTCACTGTTTTTAGTACCAATTTAATGGTCTAGTTCTTTGTTTAAAAAAATAAATAAATAAACGACCCAATCATTGACAGGATGGCATCAGTTAAAGGTGCAACCATCTCTTGGGTTCTTTTTAAATATGGTAAAACATTTTTTATGCAGCCTCGTCTCATTTTGGATTAATCCTCCCTCTGGATAATTTGTTGCAATGTTGATCAAATCTACCACTACTTTATAAATGCTGAAGACTTCTCTTTTTTTTGCTGATTTTTACCTTTTTGGAAATCTTACATTCTGTGCATGTGCAGATAATTTTGCTTTGCTTAACTTTGCTTTGCATAGTAATAATTTATTTGCGCTCTAAAGCATTTCAATTGCTCACTGTTTACAAAGCATCTATTTGAGCGAATTGACAAATGCTTGTTTTCAGTTGCATTTCCAGCAATGATGACACATTCTGAGCCTTTGCAATTTTTCCATGTCTCCTGATTAAAACCGTTTTAGCCTTGCTTTAGTAGCGCCTGATGAATTTATCGCTGAATCAGTAGCTTCAATATTGAAGGATGTTAGAAATATTAAGTCTGGGTTTCATAACGGCGCGAATGAGTCATAAGCGGAGATCGGTAAGAGGTCAGAGCCTTTCATACTCATACTGTAGTTCAGACTGAAAATATAACAGATAAACCACAAAAACAAACGCAAACACACACACACACGGATGCAGAGATACAAACATGCGCTCACACGGTCAGCTGGTGTGTTTTTTTTTTCTATTACAACTGTCAAAGACAAAAGTTTTATGTTATATTGCAAATAAATAATTAATATATTTTATATTATGCATTTCCTTGAACATACAGTGGCATGTTTTACATTTTGTCAGCGTACATCTACAAACTCCAATGTATTTTATTGGGATTTTAGTTGTCAGATCAACACCAAATTGTGTATAATTGTGAAGAAAAAGAAAATGCATGGTACGTAGTATACGACACTACTACTGCTAATAAAAAGAGATTCATACTCACTCCACTCTTTTGGATGATATCCAAAAATACAGTTCAGTGCCACCAATAATTTACAAAAGTTATGTATGTGGTAAAATCTCAATAACATACTCTTAAGTTTGTGGTTGTAATGTGACAAAACAGAAAAAAAAACTGAAGGTGTCTGAATACCTTTGCAAAGTGATGCTAACTTTAAATGTAAAAGAAAATGTTCTGTGACCCAGAATAGCACTGGGTCACCCATAAGTCAAATGAAGAAGCCATTGAACATCATACAAAGCTTTGTAGAAGCATCCACTGCGCTTAGTTCCTCTGTGGTTTCTATCAATGCAAAGAGTCATATTTAAAATATGTCAGTGCTCAGGTTGACTTGGTTTTCAAGTCTAAACCCCCGACCACAGATCCTGTGTGATAACGTATTTTTCATGTTTCACTTAAATGAATCATAGTTGAGTGAACTGTAAATTTAATAGGGACGCTCTCGTCTTAACACCTAATCATTGCAGAAAATGCTGCTTCTTACTGTTCTGACTCATAGTGTTCCAGACTCGCGTTATGGTTTTATGAATATGTTGAAAAAACTACTATGTGTTTTCTGCTCTCTGTTTCAGGGCACTCTTCCAATCACTATAGCACTATTAACGCGGCACGGGATATGCAGTCAGAAACCTTTGGTCGTCAACTCCGAGCTATTGGAGATGACTACAACAACCACCTGATGGTAAGGGTAAGAGTCAAGGATCACATATCAAACTCTTCTCAATGTAAAGTTTTGTGCTATATATCCATAAATGTATCTAAATTATTTGAGCACTGGTGAACTTAACCCCTCACTTCCTGATTTTATTTGAAATTGTTAAAAGAAGTATTTTCTTTTGCTTGGCAGTTTTTGCTGCTAAACAGTTTTGTTTCTTTTTCATTTTTAACAGTATTTAAAATAGTAAAGTTTGTTAGTTTGAATATGACTAAATACAACTGCCTAAATTAATGCAAAGTTAAGGTATGATGCAAATTAGGGACATTAGGCATTATTGGGAATAATAGTAACTAAATATTGCTGTTAGTGAGTGGCTAAGTGAATTAAAGGTATCCAAATTATTTGAGCGCTAGTGATCTTAACCCCTCACTTCCTGATTTTTTTCAAAATTATAAAAAAAAATTGGCTTTTGCTTGGCAGTTTTTGCAGCTAAAGAGATTTTTCTTTTTTTTCTTTTTCATCCATTTTTAATTAGCAAATTTGTCAGCTTGAATATGACTAAGGCAGTTGCATTAATTCAACTTCCTCAATTAATGCAAAGTTAAGGTATGATGCAAATTGGGGACATTAGGCATTATTGGGAATAATAGTAACTAAAAAATATTGCTGTTAGTGAGTGGTTAAGTGAATTAAGGGGAAGCTTTGAAAAGGAAAAATCTACCACTATTAACAATATGGATGATACTGTTTCTCACCAAGAGTTTTGAAGTTTTGATATGTTTTTGAACATCATCACAGTGCTAAGCCACTTTGCTGCACACACCCAGGTATTTCTGTTACCTTGTTTTTGCAATAACAAAACTGTTTATTTATTGTAATTGATACAGTAAAACAGGCAGAATAGATGGCATGCATTTGAGGACACATTTATTTTCATCATCTAATACTTGAGACTTGACTAAAACTTGTGAACTTATGATAACTAAATTAATAAAAGCTGTGACCAGTCGGTATGTTAGCTAAGCTAGTTAATGGTAATGAAATCACTGGCCCTTCAATCACAATCTGATTATGATCAGCAGAATCATAATCCAACAGAAATTAAACATTCACAGAAAAGACAAGGGGAAAAAAGAGATCAGATGCTGTTCTGTTAATCATCTAGTTTTAAGCAGTAAAAACAAAGTCAAAAGCAAAACCTTGTGGCACAAATTGCAGTGGAGCTGACATTTTCAAATACCAAATTATTTGCACAGCATGTTAAGCTGCTTATATCCTAGCTGGCAGGGATGAAGATGAAGCAAAGTGTTCACAGATGCTGAAAGCAAATCTCAGTGCCGGTTTACCTCTGTTGCGTTGCTTTGTTTGTCACCTTGTGGCACCAGTGTGGCTGACACACTTTTCCCTCATACTTTGCCCTATTTTTTAAAACTCTCTTCTGCAGTAATCCAAAAATAGATAAGTCATTTAGCTCCTGTCTGTGATTGTGACATGAAATTACAGTTGCATTAGCCTGACAATTACTTCCCTGAAGACATGATTACATTATCACAGGGAGCATATAACCGCTGAATAGTCCCAGTTGTAAATTTGAATAGCCACAGTAAGACTCGATTTCCTCTTGGCTTCTGATTCCTTGGCAACGTTTCTGCATGTTGCATCATCAGAGATTTACTTACTGTCAAAGGGCAGACTAGCAAACTGGAAAATGCGGAGATGAAGGGGTAGAGAAGAGTCTGTGCTCGTTTAAATTCACTTTAATCTCATGAGAGTAGTGAGCTGAAAAGTAAAAATCAGGAAAATGCACGACAGGGGGTTTTATATCCCTCCAAAGAGCTTAAAAAGCTCCCTTAGTGTCAGAAGCTTAACATCTAGAAAGTTTCAAGTCTGCATCTCAGCAGTATGATGCATCACAAATGTGCTTCCACCTATTTTGTTTAGTGCCTGATTTGATAATGAGCAGGAACAGGAGAATTAACCTGTTAGATGTTTTTCTTAGTCGCACCACTTGTAGAATCCCTCCAAAAAAAAAACATTAAAAAATAGTTGACGCTCTTTCTTTATGCCTTTCTGAATATAATATTAACAGAATTTATAGTTAGAATTACAAAGTATTTAAAGATATTTTCCAGAATTATTAGGAGAAAACAGGGTATTGTGTTGAAGATACTTTATGCTTTTTAAGTTGCCTTTCTGTAGCCTCTAGTTACACCAGCAGAACTCATATTCCAATGGCCCATATTCATTATGTTGGCTTGTGTTAATAGCAGTATGTCTACAAACAAATTCTACATGCAATATATGTGAAGGCACAAGAAATAAAACCCAGTGACCTATTTTGTGGATTATTGGTTGGGTTGCCTGTTTGAGGTGTTAAATCATCATTTATCATTTCAGTGGAGTTGAATCTAATCAATGGTGATGGTTACACCTCCCTTGATGCACTTTCCAGTTGCATATCAATAGTAAGCATGAAGAATATTTTGTTTTCCCACCAAAAAAGAAAAGTCCAACTCCATCATTCTTTTTTCTTTCTTTCTATTCTTTCTCTTGGCTTCATACTTTGGTTTTGAGTAGCAAATGCCAGCAGGCATTGGGAATCTCATGTAAAATCACACAACCTTGAAATAACTAGAACTTTAATTTGAAAAAACAAGGTTTATTTTGAAAGGCCTTGTCTGGTGACACTACCTGCGTATCCTTTACAAATGTGCGTAAAGCTATGTCGATATTCCGCTAATATAAAAAAAAAAAAAAAAAAAACACACACACACACACAATTTTGCAATTGCAGTGTTTCCACAGCATAAGAAATTAAGATCACACACCAATAAGCTTGTTCTCGCGATAAGTCTTTAAAAAACTTGCCGAAACAACATCCTCCTACCATTCCCTGTTATCTTCTTCGTGTTTCATCAGTAGTAACATTTGGTCGTGCTGCCATTGCAGCACGACAAATTGTGACACAACCGAAAAACCACTTGGTCATAGCACAAACATTTTTATATAAAAATTAGTGTTTTTATGAGGTGTTTTATTTATTTTTTTTGACATTTGTGGAATTACATGGTCAAAGGAAATGTTTCGAAACCAGAGTAAAACTGAATCTCTTCTTGTCTGCTAGTCCCTATCAGTTTATCCCGTTTTCAAGTGTTACAACTTGAAACACAACGCTCAGTAGCACATTTTATATCACCACCACTTAGTGCTCTAACATCAGGAGGAATGTAATGGAATCCTTATGCGGAGGATTCCCTGGACTGGTACGTGATAAGAGTCACGCAAGGCCAGGCTGCTTGTTAACCTCACTGCTGTGATTCAAATGGACACTGAACGCAAGCACAAGGGTGGATGAATGTGAGTCAGCTTCTAGTTGCGCAGCAAAAAAAAATCTGAAGTGTGTATGTATGTGTGTGTGCTTGTCTTTGTGGCGAACCTAATTTGAACATGGCTGCAGAGTTATCTGGAGTGTGCGCACGCATGTGTGCTTGTACTTGCTGTAGAACAATAAAGAGGCACAGATAAGAAAGCGGAACAAGGAGACTCGTTCCTTGTTTTCTGGCAGGCAAAGTTACACATCGTTTGACAAACCGCCGCTGCACAGCACGTTTCAGGCTGATCACTTTTAATCACTCGCTAGGCAATGCGACCTTTCTAAAATGTAAATTTGATTGAAGCTTTTAATCATTTAGCCATTAAGTGTTCAGTTACATTCACTCCCAATGGATTTGGTTTAAATTTTAAGAAAAAGAAAGCTCTACCTGTGATTGGATCCTGTGCTTTTGTAGCAAACTAGGGTGAAAAGATGTGAACCAAGCTCTGCTTTTAACTGCAGACTACATTCTTCCCCATCTGGATGTTGCAAACCACAAGCTGTTCTGTGGCCTTCTTCAGGTCTTGACCTCTTAAAAGCTATACCACAAAGATTACTTAATCACTGAGCAATCTGCATAGGCTATAAACCCGTGACACCATGAGTCACGGTCAACTTAAAGCCAGTAAAATCTCTATGGTTTTCCCAAGTATCACTTGACTTAAGGTGAGTCACAATTTCTTGTGTGAACTCAGTCACAGAAGAGGTCGTACTCTTGGTAGCCTGACCTGAGCAGTGAAGAAATATAAAAGAAACTGAAAAACCGAGGCAATCCCATGAACTAAGCAGGTCCGCCACATTGACTGATTCATATCTGGCTCTTGTCCTGATGAGTTAGACAAGTGAATATGGGATGTTTTTCCACTGCTCTTTTCAACAGTGATCCTCAGTTTCCTATATTTTTCCTTTGTAACAAAGCAGTTCCTTTTTTCAACATATTTTCTAAGCAGGTTTTCATCTGTTTTGAACTAATAGGGCCTTTTTTTATGTTTTAGGAAAGGCAGAAAAACAGTGAAGGTATAAAATTATATCCCTATTCCCACTGACAACAAGACCACACCTCCTCCATGCTTTAATGTTTTTGTTCTTATTTGTAGCAACGAGGACAATTCAGAATGCTTTTATTTTTTGTGATGCACCAAGAAATCAACTCGCAATTCTCAGCAGCTCTGACAGCTGGAAACTTAAAACGTTCCATCTTTTTCAGGTCAGTGAATGCACCGTAACAGGTCTCACTGACGCTGTTTGTTATGGAGGTACTTAACAAATGAAATGAAAAAGACTCAACATTAAATATTTTCACTGTCGCTTGTTTAAAAAGAAAGACAAAGACAAAAAGAGCGAGAAAGAACAAGACTTCAGCAGAAAACAGGAAGGTTGAACAGATACAGCAACTTTGGCAGGACTGTGGGACACAAAATTAGCTCTTTTCCCCTATTATTTTACTTATTTTCTGTCAGAAAAGTAAAATAAGAATCAACAAACCAATGATATGTTTGTAGGCCTGTCACAATAAGTAATAAATCAATTAATCGCATGATAAATTAAAACAAGTTCAATAATTTTCATTTGCATGATTTATTGTTTTTCTTTTTCTACCAAAAACTGGATGATAAAAGTCTTCAAACTGGTGTTTTGGTCTGAACTATCTTTGTTT